AGCTGGGGCGGGGGCGGGGAGGAGTGATCGGCGGGGCACAGAGAGCTTTTAGGCAGAGAAACTGCTCCGTGTGACGCCGTAACAGGGGATACGTGTCCTTGTACATCTGTCCATACCCAGAGAATGTACAGCATCAAGAGTGACCCCAATGTCCACCATGGACTCTGGGTGACAGCTGTGAGTCAGTGTGGGCGGCGGGCTCACGGATCGTAACAGATGCACCACGTGGGGGGATACTGATGACGGTGGAGGCTGTGTGTATGTGAGACGCTCCGCGCTTTTCCCAAAACTTCTCTAGGGAACGTAGCAGTTGTGGCAGGTGGAGGGAATGCACGACACGGCTGACGAAGCCCGACAGCGCCTGGGTGGGTCAGGGCACGAGGCCTTCTCAGGGTCTGAGCTATGAGTGACACTATGGTGATGTCCCCCAGCAGGGCCCTCGTCCTCTGCAGAGCGGTGGGGGCGGAGCCGTGAGAGGCGGCCACGACTGGGTGACGACCAGCCGGGAGGCACAGTGCCGCGACCACCCCTTCATGCACACCAGAGCTTTCTACGATGAGTGAGAAGATGCAGGACAAACGTAGCCTAGGCGAACACAAGAGGTGAGGTAATCAAAACAGGCTTGTTTAAAATTATTAAAATGAAGTTGAGAAAATGTCAACTAAAACAATCCGAATATTTTATTAATGGGTTAAAGACAACGAGTAAAAGAATTTTAAGCATAACTGAGGAATTCGGAAGTCCAGAAAACCTCAAGCCTCGAGACGGAACAGAAGAAGATCTCGAACTGCTAGCAACCCCGACTGCCAGCAAAAGCACGCGGAAAGCTTTCCGCTGGAAGGTCACGTGGTTAAGGTCTACACGGAAGCACCCCACGCAGCTCAGTTATCAGGGGCAATCAGGCCAGCGACAGACACGACCCTGGGGGCAGGAGCCAGAGGGACCCAGGAGAGACTGGACTTGCAGCTGCCGGCACCAGAACGGTCAGAGAGCGTGAGAGCCGGACTGCAAAGGCCCGCAACTCAGCAGTGACAGTGGCTTTCAGAGCGGGCACTGCACAACCGCCAGGCGCGCGGGCTCCGCCGTCATGCGGACTGGCCTGGACTGGCCTGGCCGTTGGCGAGAGAGCTAGTGAGCTCACGGGGCACATCTACGCTCAAGCAGAGGACTTTTCAGCGGAAAACACGGAGGAAGGCTGAGGCCTACAAAGGGGAAGCTCGCGGACGCCCTCGAGTCTGCGGGAGGAGAGAGGAAACGCAGAGGCACCGTGGGAGAGCGGAGAAGCCGGCGACTGAAGCGAAGGGTCTCGTGCAAGAGAAGGAACGGAACCCCGCGCCGTGCGCTTGCGGGGTGGGAGTGGGGACCCCACGCCGCGCGCTTGTGGGGTGGGAGTGGGGACCCCACGCGGTGCGCTCTCTTGCTCGCGGGGCAGGGCTGCAGCCTTGGCTTCTGGTGACACTGGTGGAAGGCAGCGTGCTGTCGCCTGCTGTAACCTGGCGCTCACCTGCCAAGCGCCTCCCAGAAGGAAGTCAGCCCTTGGTGGACAGAGGCGGAGCAGGGCAGGGTGACAGGATGCGCTTGCGGGGTGGGAGTGGGGACCCCACGCGGTGCGCTCTCTTGCTCGCGGGGCAGGGCTGCAGCCTTGGCTTCTGGTGACACTGGTGGAAGGCAGCGTGCTGTCGCCTGCTGTAACCTGGCGCTCACCTGCCAAGCGCCTCCCAGAAGGAAGTCAGCCCTTGGTGGACAGAGGCGGAGCAGGGCAGGGTGACAGGGCTTCCAGCTCAAGGACCACAGTGCAGGGGGCCTCCCAGCTCTCTCTCCTCCTCTGTCCCCCAACCTTAGCAGGGAAGCGGAACCAGTTAGCACGCTCAGCAGTGCCATGGGTGCCGGTGACAAAATCCTCATGAGCAGCGGGAAGAAGCCTGTCTCCTTTTCCAGTGGCTCGAGGAGGCAGCCCTAGCTGCAGAGCTGCACTGTTGGGTGCAGGCACCAGAGCAGTGGGGACGCGGCAGAGGACCTGGACGGACCGCGCTGGTGACAGAGGCAAAGCAGAACAGACTCTGTGGAGCAGGCCAGACTTCCCACAACGATCCGAGAATAAAGCATCTATAATCCAAGTCTTTACTTGGATTTAAGTTTTCTTTAAATTAATTCCAACTGCATTAAGACCTCAGAAACGACAGCAGTAACACTTTGACAATACTGCAGAAAAAATTCTGCCCAAGCCAAAGGACACATCTCTCAAACAAGGCACAGAAAGCGCTATCCACAAAGAGAAAG